ACAAACAAAATTTACTTATAATATGAATATAAGGCATGAGGTGTACTTCATTAGTGTTTCCACCTCCCCAAGATTTATTCCCAGTGCAACTATTTGACATTGGAACTCAGTGATGTATTGCTACACATATTATGATTAGCTTGAATTCAAATTATGCCACTTATTCTATCGATCTTCTATGTACCCATTGAGTAGAATTCTCGGTGTATAAATTGCTTGAACATCCACCAAATCACCTATTAATAATCATTCATCTTTAAATGGGTATTTTACCACTCCGGGGCATGTTGAATTAACTTTAGATAGTAGACAACTTTATTATAGGTGTTGTACACATATAAAGTGAAGTAAATCTCTAATGGGACGTGCGTGCAACTCGGTGGTTGAGTGAAAGGGATTCCTCACCCGCGGCTCCTGTTCGATCCCTCAACGAGCCCCCAAAAAAACAAAGAGAGTAAATATCATAATTCATCAATCCACGTATCTAACTTCTTGACCTCAACTATCCCATCATAAGTAGGATTCATTACTTTGGCTTCTACGTTGAATTATTGCCTCCTTCCTTCGAGTAATAGGCCATATCCTTGTATTCAACATGTTTGAACATGTTTAGTTGGCTTCTATCAATTATAATTAGACAAATTAAATCATAGTTTACTTAATATAACATTATCATTAATAATTAATTTATAATTTACTATGTTAATTAAATAATCACATCGATTTCATCAAATTTAATTAAAATAATACTAACATGTCAAGTTAATATCTTTTAATTAATTTAAATTTATTATTAAAGCCTATTTACATTTGTAATATATATATATATATATATATATAATCAATTGTAATTAAACTAATTTAATTATAATTAATATTAAATAACATCTCAATTAATTATTAAGGAATAGTTTATAAACCTAATTAAACATAATAACACCTACTTGATCAATGTAATTCACAAAGAATATCATCTTATTTAAGTAATTATTTTTAATTAATCAATATTAACTATTAAAATAAATTTAATTTCACATAATATATTCAAGTTAGTTAACATCCCCAAATACATGTTAGAAAATTTGTGACGATAGGGTTGGTATTTAATATCTTAGCTATTGGTGAAACTCTAACACTCATAGAAATTATTATAGGTAAACCCTAAAATTTTTTTTGTAGAAAAACAAAAAAGGGTAAAAAATTATGGGGCCTAGCATAGCTTTAACAATTTACTATAGAGCATGAGGTACAAGAATTTTTCAATACTCACATTTGAAGAAAATTAAATTTGTGAAAATAATCGTTTGAGTTTTTTTTTTAATACAAATTACATAAATATGATGTCCACAGACGAAGGATTAAAACCGAACAACAAGGTTAAATATTGATAAAAGTTTGGTTATAGTGGCGGTGAATGCTGGTGGTGGTCATCGATGGTAATATCTAGGAAATACAATATAATTTTTTAGTTCTCTCAGCTCTTAAACCTCCTTTATGCAGAGTATTGACCTTTGTTATAAGCATTTTGGGATTGACATTTTGATAAATTTGGATCTAATCGTACAATTCATATTGATCCCTTTATCATAGATCACTTATTAAACATTTAATTGCTTAATGAGGTCATAATCAAGTGATTTTGGGCTCGTTAGATTTGTCTCATCAAGAAGCTCAATTTGACTATAAGCTTGCTATTATTGAAGTTTGTTTGATCCATCAATTTGTATCCAAAAGTGTCCAAACTTAGTTCTAGTGCTTGATTTGAACTAATTTGGAGTTGGAGCAGATCATTTGTAGTCATGATAGGTTTATCTCGTTGAGACATTTAATTCTACTATAAATTTGTTGAAATCAAAGGTTTAGTTCCATTACTTTTAATTTAAATATTACGTAGATATTCATACCAATCATATGAATATTTGAAAGTTGTATTGATAATATATAAAATAATCATTCTTGATTATAAACTTGCGGCAATGCACCTAATTCATGAACTCTAGACAACTCTTGCTCAAAATCCTGAAACTCTCGGCGACAAGGTGAGGAAATCAGAGGTTATTAGATAAGGCGTCGATAAGATCATTATTAAACGAAGCAGAAGAAAAAGAGAAGTTCATGAGATGTTGAGGATTTACAATAGGGGCTATTTAGCTGATGTAGGATTTACTAAATCCTATAAATTAGGATTTAAATCCATAGACAGTTAAATCATGAAAATTACTTGAATGATGGAGGTTAATTGTGATTAAATTCTCAAAATTTATTTGGCTATTTCTTTCTGAATTTAAGAATTTAAATAATGCTGATATTTTATTATATTAATTTATCTTATGTCAATATTAATTAGATAAATTAAATCATAATTAACATAGGCTAACATCTTAATTAATCATTACTCAATAGTTTCTCAAGTTAATTAAACAGTAAATTGTGTGTAACGAAATTAAATAAAAGTATTATTAATTTATTTAAGTTCATGTCTTTTTAATTTAAAGATATTAATCAATAATTTAATTTAATTATATCTATGATTTTAATTTTTATCAAATTTAACTATACAACTAAATTATAATTGACAGAATATAGTTTTGATTAACCATCAATTGATAATTTATAACATCAATTAAATATAATAACTTTTATTTAATCAAATTAATCGTAAATAATATTAAGATTTTAATTTAATTAATATTAATGATCAAAAATAATTTCAGTAAAATTAGCATTCGATACGGTGTCGAGAGATTTCCTGTATAATTAATAGGCTAGAAGTCAAGGGGTTCCCGAGCTTATTTATCTCTTGGATTAAAGCCTGTACCTCTAATGTCCATTTTTCTATCTGTATAAATGGGGTACTTGAAGGCTTCTTTAATTCAACTTCTGGCATTAGGCAAGGCTGCCCGCTTTCCCCTTATCTGTTTAGTATCATTATGGATGGATTATCTTCTAAATTTGACCTTGCCACTTCTAATAAATCCTTCCAAGGTATTAAAGATGGGAAGTGTGAGGTTTCTCATCTTATGTTTGCCGACGACCTTCTTGTCTTTGGCACTGCAACCAGAAGTAATGCTCATACCATCACCTTGATTCTTAAGGAGTTTGAGGTTGTAACAGGGCTCACAGTGAATCCTCTCAAAAGCTCTATTCTGATCTCCAACAATACTATTGCTGCTGATGATATTTGCAATATTCTCAATATTCAATAGTCTTTTGCTCCCATTAAGTATTTGGGGCTGCCTATGTTTTACAAAAAACTGAAGCTTATTGATTTTCAGCCTTTGCTGCAAAAAATCTCTTCCCTTTTAGAAGGTTGGGAAGCAAAAATTTTTTCTTTTTCTAGGAGAATACAATTTATAAAATTCACAATCTCTAATACCCTGGCGTATTGGATCCGGGGCTCTATTATACCTAAGGGTTGTTGTAAGATTATTAATAAACTGTGCTCTAGATTCACCTACTTTGGCAACATAAATGAGAAGAAGCTTGTCCTTGTCTCTTGGAAAAATACTTGTTGTCCGAAACAAAATGGGGGGTTGGGTATCCCTTCTACTGATTCCCTTTACCATAACTATGCCAGTTCTACTATTTGGAGGTTTTTAAATGCCAATTCTTTACTTTTCTCTTGGTGGAGGGCTATATATCATTCTTTGTGGAATCATTTGGCTGGATACAAATCCAAATATTGGGAATTTTTGTGTAAGAAGGCAAATGAAATTAAAAGCTGCATTAAATTCTCTGTTAATGATAGCAGCAACCTCTCTTTCTTCTGGGACCCGTGGTGTTGTGGTCACTCTGTTGCTGATTACATTAAAAACTTGAGCAATATCTCCAGCTACTCCAATCTTTTTGATTGGAATATCTCGCAGGTTATTCAGGGTGATAACTGGGCTCTTCCTAACTGCTTTGATAATCATCTTGTTTCTTTTATTACTTATGTTTCTATAGATAAGCACCATGAGAATCATTACTGTTATGATAAGCAATACCCGAAATTTGGTGATTTTAACTCCCAGTTTTTTGCTTCCATGAGCAAGGTGACGTGGTATAAATATATCTGGCATAAAAAATCAGCTCTCCGTTATACTGTTTACGCCTGGCTAGCGTTCCGTGGGGGTTTAAAAATAGCAGACGTGCTTGCTGTTCGTGGTATTACTGTACCTAATTCGTGCTGCTTTTGCCACTGTGAAAAGGAAACTATTACTCACGTTTATTTTGAATGCAATTTTACTTTTGATATTGCAAAAGCTCTTCTTCCCTAGATGCACAATCTTTTTATGAGGCCAAACATTTATCAACTTTATGACAATATTTGGGAACATGGTTTTGCCACTCAAAATAGAAATTACTATCTTCTTATTGCCTCATCGATGATTTACTTTATTTGGAGGGCAAGAAATGATCGGTTATTTGGTGGCATTATTGATTGCAAAGCCACAATAGTTTCAAAAATCAGGAAAGCTATTATGATTAAAACCCATGGTTGAAAAATATGATGTTTGCTGGATTCTGGGTGAAGACGTTCTTCCTGTACTCTGCTTATCCCCTTTCTACTTGAAGACTGTAATTCGAGTCTTTGCTGGAATTTTGAAGAATTTGTCACTGAATCAGCTCGCCGAGAGTTCCAATTTTGAAAGGACGATGATGATCGCTGAAATCTTTCAGCTGCCCCTTGGACGGTCTTTGGGGCAACCAGAGGCTATGCTCAATTTTTGTCCCTCACGTATTTTTGACCCTTTCGAGCATCTTGAGCATTTATCTGAGTCCTTTTGGCATTCTGCCAACCCATTTTTGCTTTATTTTCCATAGATTGTAATTTTCTTTTCTTTAGAATTCAAAATCTCTTTTTGTTCTATGAGATGTTTGGATTATAATATCAATCTTTTTAATTAATTGTAATATCTTTTAACGATGAATGGTGGGGCCCCCCCCCCAAAACCCCCCCCCCCCAAAAAAAAAAAAAAAAAAAAAAAAAAGTATTTAAACTTTAACCAAACCCTCGTCTTGCTCCACTTCCTTTCCGCGCCTACCCTAAACCCTTGCAGAAAAAGCGTGTATTGAAGGGAGCTCGCCCACCAACTCGAAACCCTCAGGGAGAAAGTCGCGACGGGAGGTGGCCGGCGAAGGCAAAGATGTGCGCGTTTCTGTTCGTCTGAATTCCATAAATCTGAGTCGATCTTGTGTTCCGTCGCTCGCTTGTTCTCGCCATTCAGCTAGCCTTCGATATCTCCTTTTCTCTTGCCATGGCTAAGAAGCAGCAGAAAGGTGGCCAAAGGGAGGAGAAGAAAAAATACAATCTTTCATCAAAAGGTCCTGAAGACGATCTTCTCGGAGTAGTCTCCGACACAGAAGAAGTGGATGAAGACGAAAGCCAGGCATCAGATATCGAAGACGATCAATCTGAGTCCGAGGTATCATCTGATGGAGACCCCTTCGCTGACGACTTCCTCCGAGATGGCGACGAAGGTATGAAATTTTTTCCCTTTCTACCTCAGAGCAAGTGGTTTAATGCCCTCTTTGAATTATTTGTAGAGGGGCGAGATGATTCCGGGTTGGAATCGGACGAGTCGGACCTGGAAGCGAAGTCGAGAGCGATAGACGAGGCCAAGGCGATAGCTTTGGTGGAAGCTGAGGAGGAATTGAAGTTAAATATAAAGGAGGAGTCGGACGAATTTAGATTGCCCACCAAAGAGGTCACCTCTGCAAGTTATTATTTTTTACTTATAGATTTCGTATATTGTAGTTTCTAGAGCTGTGATTTTAATATCTTTTGTGAATTTTGGCGCAGGAGCTAGAAAATGAAGCCAAGCAGCCACCAAACCTTCAAAGTTTGCAAAGAAGGATTAAAGAAAGTGCGTTTTTTTTAATTGAATTCTCTTCTTCAGAACTTCATTAGTGTTTTATTTGCAATACCCATCTTTGTTTTTGGTAATTTTATATGTTATTAAGATTTTCCTGTATTATGTCAAGTAGATATTTTTTATTTTTTGTAATATTATTGTTAAGCTCTCCTTTTTCGCAGTTTCCCGCGTGCTGTCAAATTTCAAGTCTCTAAGGCAGGAGAATACTTCTAGGAAGGAGTATCTTGAACAGCTTAAGGCTGATTTATGCTCATATTATGGTTACAATGAATTTCTCATTGGCAGTTTCATGGAGGTCTGTCTTTGGCTTTCTACTATTTTTTTTTTAAATAATTTTGCTGGCATCTACAACCCTTTGAAGTTCTTTAATTGAACTTTTTTTTTAAAAATTTTGTACTCTAGATATTCCCCGTTGTTGAGCTTGTTGAGCTCTTGGAAGCTTTGGAAAAGAATCGTCCTGAAACACTGCGAGCAAATACCTTGAAGGTACGCTAGGTTTGCCTATGTGCTTTGCATTATATTTCAACAGAACCTCACTGTTGTTCAATGATTTTTGTTATAGTGCTGGAATATGCAACATAAATCATGATATTGTCTTCATTTTTTTTTCTCTGATGGTGCATTGTAGACTCGCAGAAGGGATCTTGCAGCTGTCCTTCTTAATAGGGGAGTAAACCTTGATGCAATAGGGAAGTGGTCTAAGGTAGCTGCGTTTGCACAATTGCAGAGTGCCCAACTTGTTTTCTATATTGAGAATCTAATTAGTTTTCTATGATAAAAACAGGTTGGGCTAGTTGTCTATGATTCACAAGTGCCTATTGGTGCAACTCCTGAGATTATGGCTGGTCACTACATGGTATGTTGGTTTGTAGAGTATTTTGAGATTGTTCTCTCCACTAATTATAATTATTCCAACTTTTATTTGATGCAAAATTTATATAGATTTTGTAATACTTCTAGAGACAAGGTGCAAGTTCATTTCTACCTGTTATGGCCCTTGCCCCGCAGGAAAAGGAGCGAATTGTTGACATGGCGTAAGTTCCTGTATACCACATATTTCTCCTCATTATGGTTGCGTGAATGCACAAATTTACATATCAGCCATAGGAGATTCAATATGATCTATTGATCTGCGAGACATTTTCATATTATATTTGACAATGATAGAACTTGGTCATGTATATTTTTTTTAGCATGGAATTTCTTTAGTTTATGCCACTTTAAGCTATTCAAGAGCTAAATATGGTTTAGTCATATTATTATGTTTGTAGCATATGAAAGAAGGATGCTTTGCACTCTTTAACAGCCATGTGAATGGTTCTTCAAATGCATTGAAAATGTCATGGATGGATCGAGAAGCAAACATGCATTTCTAGTTCAACCAAGCTGATCCAGTCTGTTGGGGTGGTGATGAAATAAAAACTATTCCTCTCAAAGCTTTTATTTGATTCTGTTTGCTAGGCTGCACAAAATAACTCTCTAACGTTTCCACTTATTTGATTCAAGAAATAAAGTTATAGGAGATGGCTGAATTGAAGTGTGAATACTTCGAGCAAACAAGCATCACTAGTTGAGTGGGAGGGTTGGGTGGGGTGAATAGTTGGTGCAAAATAAGAAAATCAATTAGTAGTTGCAACTTCAATTGCACAAATTTGATGCCCATCAAATGTATTGCCTAGTGGTTGTTTTTCCAATTCTTTGTGTCACCTAGGAAGTTAATTGCTATGATTTCTCAAAAGCATTTAATAAAGTTTCGCTGTCCCAAATAGTTGGGATAAGACGAACAATGAAGATGATGAATCAAATGATTTTCACTATCCTGATATCTCTATGACCTTTTTATGGGTTTTAGTATATTTCAAAAATCAGTTCAATTCCAAATTTGGAACTGCTTGAAGAATAAAAAAATATATTATAGTTGCAGTTGTAAAGCTTGCCTTCTGTTCTTTTGAAATAATCAATAATTTTTCATTTTGTTATTTCGTATCCATGTACGACTCAAAGTATTGAAGGCATGTTGTCATGGAGTGTATTGGGGTCTTATATTTAAACTGTTAGTCTGTTTGAATTATATAAATATAAATACAAAAGGCTGGATACAAGCAAATTAATTTTTTTCTGGAAATCTGAATTAGAATGTTGAAAAAGAAATTGACCTGATTCTTTCATAGGAGATCATGACAAAAGTAAATGCATTCCAAGTATGATAAGAGCTAATAAGATTTAGGCATTTGAAAATTTTTGAAATTGCAGAGCCTAAATTTTTCCTCATGGCCTTTCTGACTTTGATGCATGCATACATAGGTGAAGAAGAAATGCTTGTGATAACTCCAGAAATGAAAAATAATTTTAGTAATATGATTCATGATTCTTTTAATTTACAAATTGGCCTCCGAGATGACTGTTTCAATCTCTCTAAAAGGTTGTTATTTTATCCCTTTTGTTCATGATACACATCTATTTACAAGGTACACTAAGTACTATCAATTTGGATCTTCGCTTGCTACATCTTACAGTTCTGCATATGCTTAAGCTTATTTATCAGTTTCTAAGTGTCTGTTGCATCCAATCTAAAGCTTAAACTTGAAAAATGAAACCTTTTGCCAAAATTTATTAAGAGTTGCATTCTGCAATTTCGATGCTTCTGTCCTCTCTTCCAAAGTTCTAATGAGGTGTTATGCATGGAGAAAAAATGTTTCAATTGTGGTTACATGCACTAGAAGCTTTTTAATATCATATTATTGGTTTTGAACAGGAAGAGCACCTTTCTAGTTGTTTCTGCATACTTTAATTTTGTGAATACTTTATGCTTCTGCAGTGCTGCTCCAGGTGGCAAAACAACATATATTGCCGCTCTCATGAAGAATACTGGTGCGTGACTTTTAGCAAAACTAACATGATTATCATTCTCTCCCATACATGCCTAGTGACTTCTGCAAGTTTTTTCATTCTGCATTTACAATGTATCTTTGTTTACATATATTTGATAGTGTATGGTGTTATTGAATTTGCATGCATGTGGTAAGTAGTTTATGTATGTGCTTCGAGTGTAGTTTTACTTATTATTAATGAATTAGCTTCGATTTCTCTTGTTTTTTTTTTCATTTCTTGTATTAAATTTGAACATGTTTGTTCTTTTAATTAAACTTATCAAAACTCTTTGTGATTGGTTCTATGAGTCCTTAGTGCCTTCTTCTTTTTCTTTCATATCAATTTAGCTATTGTTGTTAAATGCGAACAAAGCACTCATTTAGATGTCAGTTGAGATGTCGTTATAGTACCTTACTCATTGTCCAATTGAGAGCTTCGCTTAAGGTGTTAGGAAGCTAGGTCAACACTTTGTTTTGATGTTGATAATTTGACATAGGGTTAATGTGGAAAGAACATTAGTTGGAAAAATAAGAATATACACTAAGAAACAAGCTAGATCAAATGTATCTACCTATGTTTCAAGTTATAAAATAATCAATCATAATGATTAAGAGATTGAGTCCAAAAATAAAGTGGATCGAGTGATATAAATAAAGTTGTGGGGAATAGAGCAACACAACATTTTCATGAAGTTATATGGTAAAACTTTTATCTTTGAATGAGCTTATGCCAGAAACTTGTTGTTAATCAGCCTGTCACTCTTCCGTCTAAATTCTCCTGAATATGCATGTTTTTTTCTTTCTGGAATTTATGATCATAGTTTCTATTTTATTAGGTATAATTTATGCAAATGAGTTCAAGGAAAAGAGGCTGAAGTCATTAACAGCCAATATCCATCGCATGGGAGTGACAAATACTGTTGTGTGCAACTATGATGGAAAGGAGGTTAGTTTTGTTGTCTGTACCAAATCAGAGTGGTCGCCATTACATTAATGTGCGAGCTCTTAATGCCTTAGATCTTCATTTTCCAGATTTGCTAGTCTGAAATAGAATTTTTTTTTCTTGAAGTTTCTGCAAATTATTTGAAAACAAATTGATATTTTTCACTATTATATTGGTGCTTATATATATGCAACTAAAGGTAGAATATAAATGAAATTCATGGGGAGAATATCCTCTATTAAGAGAATATATTACTAAATAAAGACATGATGTATGATAGTTACTATTTTCTAATCTCTAAATTTCTACGATAACAGTTCCATCATGTTAGCTTTATTTTCTAAACTTCACATTATAGCAATGTTGCAATCTCGTAATTTCTTGCTTTCTAGTTGTTCATCTTGAAAAGCTTCTGCGGACTGTGTGTTCTAGTTGTTAGTTATACTGGTTAAGTTGGAATCTGCTTTGTCTAACATCTTGTAGTTTTGATTTAGTTGCCCAGAATTTTGGGAAGCAAATCTGTTGATAGAGTATTGCTGGATGCCCCATGCAGTGGTACTGGGGTAAGATTTTTTTAAAATATCATATTAACTCTGTAAAGGATTCGTTCCTTTTTCTGTATTTCATGTTAAAATGGCAAATGTATTGATTCTCTTGCATTCTTGAAGATCATATGGAATGAGCCATCTGTCAAAACCTCTAAGGCCATCGAAGATATTCGAAACTGTGCTTTTCTGCAAAAGGTATACTTTTTAATTTTTAATACATGCTGGTTGAAAACAAGATATTTTTATTTAATACATTCATCTACCTTTAGATTAAATATATCTTATCTCAGTGAAAACATGAAGAAAAATAATGTTCATTTCTTCATTAGTTTTGGGCTTTTAGACCCACAAAACAAAAATAGCATTTCTTGTATTGATTGCTAAGCTATTTAAGATGAGCTTCAAACTTCCTTTCACACACATGCACACACATGAACGCTCATATCAGAAAAAAAGATAACTGAATATTTTTATTAGTTATCTATTTGAAAGAAGATATGAAAATTTCATAGCGGAAAGGAAAAATAATCAAAATCCCAATAAAATGATAATCAAGTAATATTAGGAATTGATGCCCCTTTTTTATTTTCATGTTATTTTTGTTGCATGTATAATTGCAATAAAAATTTTCTAAAGAAACTTAGTTTGCTATGACAAGTAAGTGCATTTGAATACCAAGCTATGTAATAAAGACTGAGTCCAAATAATATGATGAAGAGAACAAACAATTGAATATGAAAAGTATTAATGTATACTAGTTTAGCAGATAATGCCTGTGACACTGTGACTGTAAGTGGAAAGTCTAAATGGAGCATTAACTAGCATTATGCCAGCTGGAGCTGAATGAATTACAGAGGGCAATTTTGAATTGCTCCATGAACATCCTTCTACGCATACCTACATGGGCTAACAGTATACATCCTAGAATTTTCACTTGCATTTCTTAGCTTTTATACAAACTATATACATTTTATATTGACTAGTCCATAGTTCTTACATGCTTATCTTTTTCTTGTTCAGCCTTCATTTAAATTGACATTCTTGCATTGCAATCACAATGTGTTAGAGTGGCCCCTAGTGGACTGGTTCAGCCGGCTCCTTAGAAGGGGCCGGTTCACGTCTACAGTAGGAGGGGCTAGGGGTGTAAACGAGTCGAGTCGAGTTTAGGCCTTATCGAGCTCGGCTCGTTAGTCGAAAAGCGAGCTCGAGCTCGAGTCGAGCTCGACAGATGAGCTCGAGCTCATCCCTCTATAAACGAGCTCGAGCCGGCTCGATTCAATTTGGCATTTTCCCGCCCGTCCATTTTCATTTCTCCCGCCCGATTTTTTTTTTCCCGCTTGTCCACTTTCATGAGCAGCTGTCACGTAATTCCCCAAAAAAAAGCACCTGTCACGTGAACTCATATAAAATTTTTCAAGCATCATGGCAATTCATTAATGAGCCACAGATTAATATATATTATAATATAATTTATATATTATTTTAATAAAATTAACTGTACTAGCTTCCCAATTTAAATAACATAGATAATCATTAACATATATTTTAATATATTATAATACATATTATATATTATTTTACTTAATAAATAATTAACGAGCCGGCGGCTCAAGCTCGAACTCGAGCTCGTTAACCATTCGAGCTCGATTATAGGCTCGAGCTCGA